TTTATTATTTTGTATATGTATGGAAAGATCATCTTTTCTCTATTGTGGTGCCTTTCTTTTTAGGGGTTCAGGACAAACTCAAGGATTTTACCTGTTGACAATATGTGGATTAATTTCTGAGTCCCTATGATTATATCCTTGATTAAAAGTCTTGAGGTCAGCTATGTCTTCTCTGGTTTACCCTGCTGTGTAAGTCCATTCTGATGGACAGATGGTAAAGTCTCCATCTATGATAGTGGATCTAGTTATTTCTATTTGTAGCACTCCCACTTTTTTTCTTCAAGTAGTTTTGTTCCTCTGTTGCTAAATGCAAATACATTGAGGATCATTATATTTCCTTTGAGAATTGATCCTTTTATCTTTATGTAATATCCTTATTTGCCTTGACAGCTTCTCTTGCTTTCAAATTGCTCTACTTGAAATTAATTTAACTACTCTTGCTTTCTTTTCATGAATGTTAGCATAGAACATTCTTTGCACTGGTTTATATTTTTATATTTAAAATGGGTTTTAAAGCAGCATACAATTGGGTCTTGATTTTTGATATATTGTAACAATCTCGGTTTTTTTACTGATACTCTTAGATCATAAAATTTAAAGTGATACTGATATAACTGGATTAATATCTGCCATATTTGTTATAATTTCTCTGTTTTTTATTCCTTTTTTCTTCTATTACTTTTTTGCCACTAGCAGTTCTGAGAATTTTATATAATTCTATTTTCTCTCCATTTTTGCATATTCTTTTTATCTTTATAGTGGTCACCATCATGTTTGCTGTATCATTTAAAACTATTCCAATTAAAGTCCATTTTCAAATAACATCATACCATCATATCTGTCAAAGGTTGTATGAGAACCTTTTAATAACAAAATCTTTTTTTGTTGTTCCTTCTTCCATTCTTTATGTCATTATTATCATTTAATTAAATTAGGAAAAAAGCTGTCATTAAGCTAGCAAGTTTGGTCACTTACATTTATTTAATATGTTTGATATGACTTTATTAGACAATTTACCCCTCTTCTTTCTATACTTCTTTAAAGTGCTTTTTTTGTGTGTATTTGAATGGATAGTTTACATTTTCCATAACAAAATACTGTAACATGTTGCTACAATATGAGTTTGTCTGCTCAGAATTTATTTTCAAGCATAGTCACTATAGAAACCAGATAAGAAGGTTGGCCCTTTAGAAATTTGTCAGGTCTAAAGACAGAGTCCGTGTGAAAGGGATTAGGACCATCCTAAGAAAGGACTGAGGGAGATCTCTAGCCCTTGCTACTGAGAAAAATCTCACCCTAATCAGGTACCAAATCTGCTGGTGCTTGGACCTTGGACGTCCAGTCCCCAGAACACTGAAGAATTATGTTTTATTCTTTTTTTTTTTTGTACCAGGAATTGAACTCAGGACCTCACACTTGTGAGGTGGGCATGCTACCACTGAACTAAATCCCCTGTCCCAGGGAGCTGTGCTTTATTACAAACTATCTGGTTTTATTCTATGTTATATTTTGTTGTAGCAGCTCACATAGACTAAGACACACGGCTCATGCTTTCTGATGATTTCCCTCCTTACTTTCTCTATTATCTGATTTTAAATCTAAAATTTTAAATTTTAGATAGTATGACTGTTTTCTTTCTATTTGTTATTATCTTTTAAGGAAGGACAATAAGAACATCTGCTGAGTATTTCATACACTTTGTCTTATACGTTTTATGCAGTATCTTCAGGATTCAATTCTTCTTTAAGAGATTCTTCTGTAACTTTTTTTTTTTTTTTTTTTTTTTTTTCTCGGGG